CGTAAATGGTACACAGAACCTGAACGGCTTCTGCTTCATCCCATTCGTCTACAACAGAAAGGAAATCAAATAAAATATCACACATCCCATTTGGCCTTATAAAGAGCAGAACCTGCATGCCATCCTTAGAAATCCGCATTCCAAATCCTAGCCTTTACCTATGTTCGAACACTGACCACTAGCAAATTGGGAAATATAGAATTATCTTTTATTTACAGATTCAAAGCATAACTTTGCTCAGTTTTGAAAAATAATTATCGAACTCCTGTCGGCCTGCTAGACTAGATCGTTACGAGGTCATCGGAAATTTTTGAACAGTTTTTGATTGATTTATTGTTTCGTTCAATGGTTTCCCTTCTAAGTAAAGTCTAATGAATAAAATAAAATAAGAATATTTCTTAAATCTCATGAAACGGCATTCTTAAGGACAGATCAATCAGCTAACATCGTTGCTTAAACCAGATATTTGTATAATCGGAAAAAAAATCAAACACCCAGTATCAAAGAGTAGGACAATCCTTTCCGCACTCACCACACTCTCCAACCACTTACCGACCTCAGGTAAAAGAGAGTTTCGAGGTCAGTTTTTTTTTTTTTTTAGTCTTTCGCCAAACAGCGGGACAGGCTGGTTCACTACACTCTAACCACCAAAGAACTAATCAGGACTGCTGCCTGTCACAAAGAATAAAGGGTATCTCTTACTCTCTCTCTCTCTCTCTCACTCTCGCTCTATGTTCCAACATACCGCAAGCTACAAATTCTGTCTCACCACCAACAAGGATACAAGTTTGCATTTGTATTAAAAAAAACAAGCCTTCCTTTGTTAAGTAATCATTCATTTTGAATGTAAAGACCAGAATTTTGCACCAATCTCCATACCCTAATGTGTTTGTTTCCGATGCATTGTATGTACAGGGGTACAGTTCCATCACTTGGGTTTAACTATTAGATTGTTACATATATTCATACGTTTTTTTCTGGTGTTCTGTGACTGATCTTGAAGAATAACACTGGTCAACTGGTGGTGAGACAGAATTCGTAGCTTGCGGTATGTTGGAACACAGAGAGAAAGTGAGTGAGTGTGTGTGTGTGTTTTTGAGAGAGAGAGAGAGAGAGAGAGAGAGAGAGAGAGAGAGAGAAAGTAAAAGATACCCTTTTTTCTTTGTGACAGGCAGCAGTCCTGATTAGTTCTTTGGTGGTTAGAGTGGATTGGACCAGCCTGTCCCGCTGTTTGGCGAAAGACTAAAAAAAAAAAAAAAAAAAAAATGACCTCGAAACCCTCTTTTACCTGAGGTCGGTAAGTCGTCGGAGAGTGTGATGAGTGCGGAAAGGATTGTCCTACACTTTGATACTGGGTCTTTGATTTTTTTCCGCTTATACAAATATCAGGTTTAATCAACGATGTTAGCTGATTGTCCTGTCCTGATTTTTGGTGCCAAGAAACAAAACACATTTTTTAGCTAATTTGATGTTGCTGATTCCGAAAATGACCTTAGTTTTTCATGGCCAGCTATCGTTTTTGCTGTACTGAAATTGCTCATTTTTGGAAAAAAAGATCAATTTACGATCTTGGCGGATTGCAAAATTTAGTTAATAAAGGTCGTAGAAACCCATTAATTTTTAGGTAGGCCGAGCAATTTAAGTCAGCTACCCGAAATAAACTATTTTTATATGAAAAAGTGTTTAATAAAAAAAAATTAGAGTTAGAGTGGATTGGACCAGCCTGTCCCGCTGTTTGTCGAAAGACTAAAAAAAAAAACTGACCTCGAAACCTTCCTTTACCTGAGGTCGGTAAGTGGTCGGAGAGTGTGGTGAGTGCGGAAAGGATTGTCCTACGCTTTGATACTGGGTCTTTGATTTTTTTTTTTTAGTTTGAGTTAATAATTTTAAAATAGAAATACCGAATTTTTCCAATTTATCTATAAAATTCAAATTAAATAATAAACTTTATCAATAATACAATTTAGCAAAACTGATAATTAAGGTGACATCAAAAAAATGAAACCCTAAAATCTTCTGTTTAATATTCATAAATTTATCCTATCGCTTTTATCCCTTCACTACGAAAGGAAACCAAGCACATTGAGAGCATTTTGTTTCACAGTTGGAAAGAAACTCCAACTAAAGACATCTCAACTGAATGCTCCTATTCCATTGTACATGATACTGCTGGAATATCAAATAACATTAAATATCACAGTAGAGAAAGAGAATTTTTTTACCATAGTTCTTATGTTCACGAAAGTTTTATTTCTGCTGTTATTAAATGATTTGATGAAAATACTTGTTGGCCTTGGTATATTCAATCACGTTATTTTTAAAGACTTAGGGTCTGATTGTTATTGCAAAAATAGTATTTTTCAATAATCAGACCAATATATGTTGGTTTAAATACGAATTGGGAGGTTTTTAGAATTTTATTTTGGGAAATATTGCTATCGTTCAATATCATATATACAGAAAAAAAATGAAAAAATTCTTTTTTTAAAAAATGAGGCATTTCTAACAAAAATGGTAGCTAACCAAGGGTAAGATCAGTTTCAAATTCAGCGTTCTGAAATTAGCTAAAAAAGATGTTTGGTGTCTTGACACTATTTCAAACTTTTTTTTTGTTATTGACCAGTGTAATCTTTCGTATATTTTTTTTTGCTTCTTAGTAAATCTGGTCCTCTTGTCAAACTGTCTGACGTTATTGAAATTTTATTTCAGATTCGACAAGCCTTTTAGATGAAATGCCAAGTAAACAAGTATGAGCATGTTCGGCATCTTCTTTTCGTTGCTTTTAATCAAGGCAGCATAGTTGCCGAAGCTGCCCGAGACCTTTGTACGGTGTAGAGAAATGAAATGTTTTAAAAACAAAACAATACAAAAGGTCAATACTAAACTACATCTTGAACAAATGAACCCGCAGAGAAGCAATTCAGCTGCAACACCCCCCCCCGCCCAAAAAAACCCTGACTGGCGATACAGTGTGATTATTCAATATGACAATGTTCGTCACGCACCACACCACTAACATGAGCAAACACGTAATCAAAAGAGCTCAATTAGGAAGTTCTGTTACGCCCACCATATTCTCCTGATTTACTCAGAGTAGCACCTTTTTCGGCCGCTTTCTAACAATTCGAGTGGACGGACGGGTCAGTCTACGAATGTTTGAAATCGGGATTCTGAAAGTAACATCAGTCAGCTAAGGAATGACAAGCCAGTCCTACTATTTGACTGATTCAGTAGATGGGAGAATAAAGCGAACCGTAACTTTCTCAGTTGCATTTGTGCAAAACTTAATAGAACGATCCCGAGTGGAATTCGAACTCGGTTCGACAAACTCCCGTTCCAAGTGTTTAACCATTACGCCACTTACACATCCTAAATGATAAAAAAGCATGGATAAATTACTTGTCTACACAATACACCGCCGGTGTTCTATGAAATGTATTTCCTGTTAACAGGAGGGCCAAAAATTAGAAGTTTGATGCCGTATCATTTAAGGATTCGCAGGTGATGTAATTGCTAGAAGCTCCGAACGGGAAGTCAGCGAGCAGCATTCGAATTCCAGTCGAGATTGTTACAATCATTTTAGCACAAATATTCTTTGGAAATGTATGAATCAATCTCGTTCCCCCCAGTTATGGATTAAATAACCATAGCTGGCAAAATCTGAATTCAAATGACTGGTGGAGCACATAAGTTGAACTGTAGCTAAAGTCCGCTCATCATAGTTGCGGTATAGACCCCAGGTTGGCTGTGTGGGTGTTGAAGAAACACAAATGGACCTGAGCAGATGGTGGGGAGATGTTCGGTAACGAGTAGTCATACTGAAGATGAGAAATCACATTGCTTTGCAGTGTGACTTTAAGTCGAAACAGCTCTGATGATTATCTTCATCTGTCATGAGGTAAAAAGATGGGATATTAGTAAGAAGGCTGTGTTACGTTAATCAAGTAGAGAAGGTCTGCTTGTCTTGAAAAACAGCATTAGAAATTCTGACATTTAAACGGGATTCGAACACTGAGAAGTAACACCGGCAGGAAATACGTATTAAACTCAGCTACAGTAGAGGCTTAAGACAAGAGATAAAGGTATATACATATTGGAGTCCTATCTATCTATCTATCTATCTATCTATCTATCTATCTATCTCATTCTGTTTATCTATCTATCTATCTATCTATCTATCTATCTATCTATCTATCTATCTATCTATCTATCTATCTCATTCTGTTAATATCTATCTATTTGTCTATCTATCTCATTCTGTTAATATATGTCTGTCTAGTTTGTAAAATAATTAATTAAATAAATAATTAATATATAGATTGATTTGTTTTTTATGGTTTGTCAATTCTTTGTTGATTATTTCAAGCAGAAACATATTTTGAATTTTTAATAATAACCTTTTTTGTCATCGAATATTGCATCAACAATTCCAAACAGTGTACGTCCTTAGGGAGACACACACTTGAACTAAGGTCCATTCAGCATAATTGCAGCATAAAGCACAGGTTGGCTGTTGAAGTCCCAAAAATGGGCCTGAGCAGAGGAGCATGTTCGGTAACGAACAGTCATGCTGAAGACGAGAGATCACGCTTACATTGTAGTATTCCTTCAAGTCGAAACAACACTGATGATGATGATGATGATGATGATGATGCCTTATCATATAAACGCGACGAATGGAAAGGATCTTTTCCTGTTATCTGATTAGTTACCACAAATTTGTGCCATTATTGCGTAGCTATTCTTAATAAAAGTAACGCAATGACCTGAAGGTAATTTGCTGCTGAGATGCAACGCTCACGCGCCATCGACGACGGTTGGGTCGGCTCGGCCGAGCGAGAGATGGTATGACGTTGAAAGATCTTAAACTATCAATGAACCCAGTATTAACTTCACGGATATAAGGAAAATGAAGAAGATGTTCGTTGCCTGTTGGATTAAACAGAATTAGTGACATTTCGAACGACAATGATGCAAGCAAGAGAAAAAAAAAAGAAAGTTTACTCACTGAGACCTGGAGTCTGTTCATCTTTCGAGACGGTAATGGTTATCGCCTGCGGTTGAGAAGCTTGCTTCATCTTGTTGGTTGCAATTTCCGACAGATATTTATGCCAAATCTTAGTTACCTGTAAAAGTCAATGAAAACCGCCACTGTCACGGTGAATGGATAATAGCTGAACCTAACACTTCTTGGGGATGTGAACAGAACATGGGTAGTGGAACGAGCACAGTCTACCCCCGTAAATTATATAAAGGGTTCAGTTCAGTATTCTCTGTAGGCTACTCGGATCGTAATACACTTGATGAAGGGCGGAGGGCAAAACGCTCGAAACGTTGTCATAACAAAAACAAAAACGAGGATAATAGTCCGAATGTAAATAGAAGAAATTATGATAACTCCCCATCTCAGAAATCCAGACAGAAACTCTTTTTAAAATTAATTAATTTAATAATTAATTAAAATAATTATTAATTATTTGATAGTAATTAATTTTTTAAATTAATGAATTAATTTCAATTTAATTGTTTGGTTGTGAGGTCAAATATTTAAATAAATGAACTCAAAATAAACATTATTTTCAAAGACATTTGAAATCTCTAGAGCACATAATGAGGAAAGAGGGTTAGGAGAATATAACACTTACAGGATATATTGAAGGCAAGAGGCACAGAGGAAAGCAGCAATTTAACCTACCTAAGTAAATGGATAATGGAACAGGGATTAGGAGAGATCCCAAAATAGACAAATATTGCTAAGTGCTACAAAAGACAGGAAGGTGTAGAGAACCATGGTCGCTCACGTGCTAAAAAAAACATGGAATATAAAAAAAGAAGAATTAAAGTTATTAAAATTAAAAAAATTAAAGTTATTTTACAGCTTTTATAACCTCTATTTACTGGGCAACCCAGTGGGTCAAGAGTGTTAGAGTAACGTATAAAACTTATAAATAAAAAAGAGAAAATTATAGAAAGAGTCCTCACTTGTCGATAGATCGACATGGCTATATCCATTTTACTTTGACGAAAGAAGACATTCGCCATGTGATAATGGCCGCCAGATGTCTTCAGTGAGTTTGTACCAAATTCCTCAGACGCATGATAGATCTGAAATTATTCAGAAGTAAACAAATTAGCATTTTTAAACTGCGAAATAATTTTAAACGCTTTCGTCTAATCTAGAAATTACAGAAGAGTCAGCATCATATTCAATAACGCGCCAAAAGTCATGGGAAAACCGCCTGGTATCGTTTAGAAACGCTTCTAGCTCCTGTGAAGTACAGGGTGGTCCGAAAGTTTTGTCAGCCCTACGAAAATATAATGTAAACAATAGAAAAACAAGTAATATATTAATACAAAGCACACATACTGGATTCAATTTATTCACTTTCATTGACGTCTATACACTTGCAAACAGCCTCTCTACCATCCTGCTGAAATAGAAAATTATAGTATGCAGGGTTTGCTGGTGCCACAAGACTTTTTATATATTGCTATCTCGTGACTTTTGGCACGTTAGACGATAATTAAACGTAATTAAAGTAACAAAAGTTTCTGAGCCGAATCGTTACGAGCCTCTCGCTGCTCTATCGCTATTTCCATGGCAGATGTTCAAATGAGCTACATTCCTTAGTTCCACCAGTTCAGACCTTCACAGCTAAGACCCACCATGCCACGCACACAGAGTCGGCTCATCCTCACTCCCTTCGTATTTCATTGGTAAGGAAGCAGTTCCACTCAGACAGTGACTTCCACAGAAAGGGATGTCTCCTCGACCGCTACAATCTTAATCTTTTCATGTGTCGGATCAGCCGTTATCTATCCTACATATCCTCATAATACGGACCTCTTACTACTTCCTCGTACGCCCCAACAAAAAGCTAATTCAGTAAGACTCTATCTTGAGTGTCTCTTTGGCCTTATATTTGGTGAACAACAGTATGAAAAGAAAAATGCTTTTAAATAGAAATGATTAAAAAAAACTTTAGTGAGGAGAAAAGACAATAAAAGAACAGGTTTCAGGAAGACAGAAGATGGCGATTGAAGTTGCATTTGCTATTTTTTTATTTTTCTTATATTCTTTCACACCAATAACTCCCTGCATTTTAGTGCCTTTATTACCTTGATTGGGGTGAAATGGTTAAAAAAATCCTTCAATAGCATATAAACATTGATGTATGTTATTTCGAAGAAACCAAAATCAAAGAAGGTCTTGATACTTAATATCGGAATTAGATAGCACCAGTTTTGGAAACAGTCTGTAAATATTATGGAAATGGTGTTGTCATCAATATCAAATGGAAGAATAACATACAGAGACATTGAACAAACAAACATAATATAAATATTGATCAACAATGTTAAAAGAACTATCAATAAAATTCCATCTTTCCCTGTACAAAACTTTGAAAATCTTGGAAGACCTTGTCGGAGTTAACTCCTCCTCCTTCAGTCCGTTAACCCTTTCACCAGGAGTCTCTCTTCCCTGGCTATAAATAGCCGCTGACTTTTCGCCTCTATCTCTTTTCCCTTCAGGATTTCAGCTATCAACCTCGAAATGTAGGCGCTAACAAGGGATAGCGTGGAAACACGCTAAGCACAATATTCACACACGCACGCACATACAGAATATTCACACACGCACGCACATACAGAATATTCACACACACTTCGTCCTTTGTACTGTTTCCATGTATTGTAACTTGTTATTAATATATATTTGTATATACATATATTATCGGTCTTGTTTTGTTTGCTTTCTTTACCTTCTACTTGATTATTTCTCTTGTTGTTGTCTTTGTTACATTTGATATTGTAAAAATTGTAGAGGGTCGGTTTTTATTTCTATTTATAACCAATACAAATTGGCTGACCCACTATAACCTGCAGTACTTTTGTTGGGATAGCTATGAGTTTGAATTTGTTATCAGAAGGTTTTTATATTAAGATGGTTAGTTTACGGGCATGTTCACCATATTAATCCACAACAATATAGAATATAGACATTCAAAAACGAATCAATCACAAGGCAATTGAGTAAGAAACACCGGTAATTAGGATTCATTAAAAACAACATGCATTTATGTACAATTAATATACAATTAGAGAACTTGTGGTTTGATAATGCAAGAAATTGACCATTGATAAATTGGGTGATTGACCATTGATAAATTGGGTGATTGACCATTGATAAATTGGGTGATTGACCATTGATAAATTGGGTGATTGACCATTGATAAATTGGGTGTCTTATTGATTTACAGTTCAAAATTGTTCAAGTGTTAAAGAACTGGTCAAACAGAGTAAAAATGGAAAAATATTATTTATACAGAAATTTGTGTAGTTTGTATGCGTGAATAAAGTAGAGTATAATTGTCTAAATTTTCCAGAGTTGTTTACCTTGGATTGTTCTGTGTTTGTCTTTTGTTAAAATACACTTTCTATATTAGTAGTGTGTAAGAACACTTTTCTTAGAAAGTTGTAAGTGAAATGTAAGAGATTAATGTTAATGTTTGAGTCAGCAGTTGACGCGCGAAAAGTATCTTAAGTCAAAATAGTGACACACGTGGATTCGTGTGACATCTCTCTGAAGTTTAGTGATTGACTAGTGAATTGGGTCGAAATGGTCCTTTTTATTTGATTTTTGGAATCCAAAGTAGGCTCCAGTGAATTGGGCGCCAAAACAAATTTTTTCGACAATTGTTACATGTGTCGACCAATAGGAAGTCGAGATTTGCAATGTGAGGTGTTGATTGGTTAAAACTGATTCTGATGGAAGAGTGTATTTTATCTCGGAGGTGAGTATGAAATATGGACGATTCTATACTTTCATGAGTTAGCAAGGAAGTTAGTAAAGGACAGATAAGAGTTATTTAAGTTGCCAAAGATAAGAAATCACAATGATTCAATAGCGTGTAGAAGGGTGGAGCAGAGGGGACGACGGCCCCGGGCATCCATATCGGAAGGACATCCAATCAAAGAAGGAAATAAAAATTTAGTTTTTGAAATTTCAAATTGTCTCTATTAACTTCATTGTGCATGCGGCCTACAGTCCCACACGCTGGTGAATGTGGATCCGTGTTTTGATAAGCGAGACCGGAGTAGTCCCCGAAACCCTTACTTAAAAGTTGGCAAGGACTTATTTGCAATTTTATAAATGCCTCCAATTGCATGTAATTATTTTACTATCGGGACATTTAATCTTAAAGGAATCATGAAAAAAAATAAAAACAGGAATTATCGGCTCGGGACATTATTATTTATAACATTGATGTATATTGTCTCCAAGAAACCAAAATCAAAGAACTATTTGGTATTAATACCAGTGTAGAATCACACCACCACCATTACATACACACAGTATATAGAAATCATGCGACAAGCATTCATTGGTTGATCTCCTCAAAACTAGCTCGCTGATTGGTCAGTTCCGACCAATCAAACCGCCTGCAAGGTGACAAATCTGTTTTCCCGCGCACAAGCTTCTGAGCCTTCCACGTGATACACAGCCATATATAAACAAAACACGAATAAGCTCCCTCGTGTTTCTCTTCATTCATCTTTCTCCTTGCTGCCAAGATGTAATCTTCAAGAGCACCCGTCTTAACCTTGCGGTCAGACGTTAAAGACCATTATCAACATTCACGCAAGTACAAACTCTTAACTCTTCAGTCTCTCCTTTTCGTCACTCTTGCGTCGCAAACCTTTGCTGCTAAAATGTGACCTTCAAGAGCTCCCGTCTTGACCATTACAACATTCACGCAAGTACAACTTTTAACTCTTCTGAACTCTTACCAAGTTTTACAACTCACATTTCCTAACATGCTAAAGGAACTTTATTCTTCTAAACTACAGTTTCATAATTAATTTACTTTATGAGCTCAAGTACAAATATTTCCAAGTCTAAGAGACATAACTCTATCAAACCTTCAGCTTATATGCATGTACACCCAAACACTAATTCAATTGTTATGTTTTGAATCATTACATTCTGTTTTGTATTTTATACTATGTGCGTCAAATATAAATTGCATTGCATCCACGCATTGTCCTTAATCCCGCCTTTCCTAGTCAAAAGATAAGTATATGTAGTACACACCCCTACATAATGGTGACAATCCCGTACACCAGAGTTAGGAAAAGATAATAGCTTTGGAAACAGTAAATATGAAAATGGTTTTGTCATCAAAACCAAATGGAAGAGACAGAGACATTGAACAACAACATTAAAAGAACTATCAATAAAATTCCATCATTCCCCGTACAAAACTTTGAAGAGCTTGGAAGACCTGAAACACTTCCATGAGTTAGCATAGAACAAGGAGGTTTGGAGAAGACTGATAAGAGTTATTCACAAAGTTGCTGAAGATGAGAAGCGTGCCTTCAAGTCGAAACATCTCTCACAATGATGATGATGATGGCAGATTGCGATTTCAAGTGACTAATTCACTTTTTAAGAATTTAAGCCATTGTGAATTTTTTATCCTTCAAGTCAGTTGCCATTAGTTTAATTTGTAACATATAAATATAAGTAGAAAAAAAAGCAAACGTTGATAAGATAGGGAGGGTCACAAAACATTACCTGGGGCCCCCAATCAGGCTTGAAGGTCGGTGGGTTCGAGGGTAGTATGCGCCAGCACTGCCCTGCCCGCTATAATGCCGATGAAACTGGACTATTTTTGCACCTATCTACGCTATATAACATTGTGCTACATTTTAACTTTGTGGGCGGATAATAAACAGACGCGTTTCTAGTGCGGCGTGAGGGTGGACAGTCAAATCGGGGAAAGGAGGCCGTTTTCTTTTTTTTTTTTTCTTTCTTTCTTTCTCAAATGTTCCGAACAACAAATTTGTAGTGCAACCGATACTAAAAGCAGTGGCGTAGCTAGGGGGGGGCGGACCTCCCCGGGTGCCAGCACAGGAGGGGTGACACAATGTCACCCCCAACAAAATTTTTCAACCAGGCTAAGGTGCCAAATAGTCTGAAAACAGTGGTGGAGACACAGGGTTTCGCAGGCGGGCATATGACCCCCCAGAAATAATTTATGACCTCTCCCCCTTTTGCCCAACGTCAGAAATTTTCCAATAAATTGTCGGGAAATTTGTGAGTAGAAAAAATAGCAATGTTTTCAGTTTTCATGTGTTTCAGTTGCTACAATCTTGGTTACTAACAATTGAGACATTGTTCTAACATTTTATCGGATGTATGGTGTTTTAACTCTGCATCATTAATAACAACAAAGCGAAATACGAAGCCAAAAGTGCAACAATTTCAGTCTTGCCTGTGTATCAATTCGCTGAAATCCAATTTTCCATTGAGTGATCATCATTGATAATTAAATGGTACCCAGAAAATGATGCAACGGAAAATTGGACACCGGAAAATTAGCAACAGAAAATTACGTCAACCATGAGCCAGTCGAGACTGTCGGATGTGGCTGTGCTGTCCATTGAAAACGAGCTTACAAGACAAACAGATTTTGACGATGTCATTGACCAGTTTGCCACAATGAAAACAAGAAAATATTCATTCTAAGACCATAGTATCGAATGTCATTCTTTTGTGTATTGCCGTGTTTTGTATTTAGTTGTTCTGAAAGTGAACAGCTGCATTTTAAAAATCTTTTGATTTGAACTGATTATTTTCTGGTATTGGATTTTGTCTTGGATGTAAACAGTAATCTACCGGTCAGTAAAGTAGAGGTAGAGCATGTATGAAAATTTAGCTACAGCTAACCATTCAGCATAGAGTGAAGCGGAGTCATTGGGGTGACATTTGAGTGGACCGCCCCGGGTGACGTTTACTCTAGCTACGTCACTGACTAAAAGACTGTTTTATAAGGATAAATATACAAAAACAACGACAAAACAAAACACTCACATCGTCGGCAAAATGTCTTAGAGCTTCTGAGTAATCTCCCTTAGCTGCGTACAGTAATCCTAAATTGCGGTGTAAATTGTACATGATGGAACTCGGGCAGTTGGGGTCAGTGATTGCAATCCAGTTTGCCTGCGACAGATATTCCTCTGCTTTTCCAAGTTTTCTCAAGCCTACAGCATTTGAATAATAAGAAAATTATCTTATGGTAAGTAAAATGAAATATTATCAGTTTCGAAATATTTTTTTTTAAATCCCTTCATAGTTAAAAAAAAATTAATTACCAAAAATTTTTATCTCCCGATCATAAAACATAAAATCCACTTGTAATTTATTATTATTATTATTGTTTTTTTTTTTTTTTTTTTTTGCAAACATGTATAAACACAGCCACAGTAGGACATAGTATTAAAAGGACACTTTTTTTTCTCGTGACACGCTTTTTTAGCTATCTTCACTCCTCGGTAAAAAAAAGCGATGTTTAGAATCGTAATAAAACCAAAATATATGATGAAAGTGAATTTCTACATTCTTTTTTGTTCTTGAAAATTTACAACAAAAATATTAAACACTATCGATTAGATTCTTTATTTACAAGAATAATTTTAAATTTACAACATTCTAAAAACTAAATACAATTAGAACTAAATGCAATGCAATATTTATCATTTACAAATTTATAAGGAAATAAATTGCGAAAACAATTTTTTTATTCATAAATTTATAAACATTTACTAAATTATTAAAATATGTGAACCAACGATAAGGAAATCCTTATTTACCATTTTATAAATTTAAATCGACTGGCAATTACCCGATCTTTTGCCAACCATCCCAATAAACAATCAATAAACAGTGTAAATAAACAACCAAATAAATAAATGATGTTTATTATTCTTATTGTCAATTCTCAAGAATAAAGAAAATGTATAAATTCTCTTTCCGATGTTTAGGTTTTATTACAATTGTAACTACCGCTTTTTAAAACGAAAGTAGTTAAAAAAGCGGTGTCATGGGAAAACTGTCCTTTTGACACTACGTCTTATAGCGAGCACGTTTATCCATGTTTGCCAATTTATTTCTGTCATATTAATTTTAGTTACTTTTTGTTGCCACTACCCAGACCGACAATTTAAACATTAGTAAACGTTCTGGTATTATTGCGAATCTTATTTAATAAATTATTGATAAACATTAGAATTCATTATTAAAGTATTTTTTCAACTTATCCTTCTTTGTTTTTCATTAACACTGCTCAGACTATAATTCCACAGTCATCAGTAATCAAATAGCTGTCTTGGATTTTTATTAAATGAAGTTAAGGTCAAACGTTATTGATTAATATTTCTGTCACATTAATTTAATTACTTTTTCAACACAACTAATTTTACAGCCATCAGAATGATTACGGCCATATCACGGTGAAACACCGGTTCTTGTGTGAAGTTAAGGAACCTCGAGACTGGTCAGCACCTAAATGGTTGACCGCTTAGGAAAACCAAGTGCTCTAAACTTGGATGTGCGGGTGGTGTAATGGATAATGACTCGGAAATGTTAATCGGAGAGCCGTTAAACATTTTAAATGATGTCAATTTTGGGGGTACACCCTGTCTGTATGTATATATGTATATATATATATATATATATATATATATGTGTGTGTGTGTGTGTACACGCAGCATATCTTCACCCAAACATGTTTGCTTCAATAGTTTAGATGTATTATGTCTATTATTTTAATCTTAATCCAAGTTCACGGATTAATTTCTTAGCGGTCGTAGGAAATTGATCAAGAAAAAACCCGTAGTTTTTTTTTTCATATGGTATTTATTTTCCTAAGTACTTTCAATCTAATGTGAGATCATCTACAAGGGTTGAATTTCTAAGACAAAAAATTAATTAAGTTATGAATATGTGAGTATGAATGCCGTAAAATTCGAAAAAAAATCTTAACCGCTATATTGCAGTTCTTACTTTTATTTACATAAGATTTTTTTTTTTTAAATATGTCATTTATTAAGCGGTTTTGTTAAAACTGACTATTTAGTTGTGGGTAATTGTAAGCCATGATAACAAGAAAAATGTCTGAGAAAACTTTCGCTAAAGGAGAGCCATGGCGCTGAGCCACAGAACTCGAACCGGCTCTTCCAGAAAAGGAAAAAGAAAGGAAATAGATAAACATTATTTACCAATACAGGCTTCTCCAAGACACAAATAAGCCGGCACAAGTTCTATACTTGAAGGACCATGTTGTTGCAAGCAGAATCTGACAGCGACAAGTGCAGCTGGGACAGCTTTCTCATGGAGACCCTGGAACAACAGGTGGCGAGCTCTGGTGGCAGCTGTATCAATTACCTGCAACTGGAAACCGAAAATCATAACCACAAATATTGTATATTTACACATTGAGCTCAAGAATACGCATATGCAGGGTGAGACACAAATTTGTGCAACATAGGAATTAATTAATTAATTATGTTTGAAATGTTTAATTTGCTTTGATATGTCCTCTTAATTGGTCACCGAAGTCATCAGACCCTTGGATTTTTTTCTGTGGGGGTCAATTTGAAATCAGTTGTTTATCATAAGTGTCCAAGAAATCTTGAGGAACTTAAAGAAAAATTTAAATATGAATGCCGTAAAATGGCAGAAGAAACTCTCGAACTATTTGATGAATCAGGCAGGGACGGAATTGAAATGTGTTTCGACAAAGGAGGACATTTTGAACACACATATAACAATTAAATAACTAGTTAATGAAATGTTCATGTTTAATTATACTTTTAATAAATCATCTCTATGGTGCACAGCTTTTGACTCACCCTGTATATACAGTCCGATCTCCTTAATCCTGCACTCCGTGGTTCGGCAACACCCATGGTCCGGTACTTTTTAATCAGCCTTTGTTCATTGAGCGGCTACGAGATCCGCGTCACACTATAGCAGCCGACAACTGCAGAGTGTTTTGGTGATATGGTCCTGCTTATTTCTTTATATATATATATATATATATATATATATATATATATATATATATATATATATATATATATATATACACTGCGTGCCAAATTATTATCAAGATAACTTTTTTTCTAATATTTCAAAAACCGTCCAATCAATTCACACAAAATTTTCACACAATGTTAGCAACACTGACCTGCGAGATCACTGAAATTTTTGTACTGATCTGCCCAATATAAACAAATAGATAATAATTTGGCACACAATGTATATATATATATATATATAAACAAAACGCGCGCACAAAACATATTTTATTGATTATACAAACATATCAATAATAACATATTAACATAGGGTATACCTACTTTTGCAGCCCCATTCAGGTTGCCACCCAAGAGAGCAGGAAGTGCAGATGATGCTGCCAGAGGTAAGAAGCGGAAGTATAAATCTTTATCTATGCTTGAAAAGGTGAAGAAAGTAGAGAAAGGAATGGATAATCAACTGTTTATAACTTGAAGAAAAAAAAAGCAGTTTTTTTTGGGTGGGGGTGTTGCTGAAAGCGAAAGCCAGAAAACTTTGATGTGTCAAAAAACATTAGAAGGGACCAGGAGATCCGAATTAGACGTTGCGCTTATGAAGTAGATTAAACTCCGATGTGGCGAATGTGGAAGCATTTCCGGAGAGATGCTTATGGAGAAGACTAGAGTTTTTGATAAGGAACTAAAACTAACGTATGACAGTAATTATTCGCAAGGATTGTTACACAAGTTCAAGTTAAAGAATAGCATTTTGCTTCATAGTCTAAGTGTTGAAAAGAGTAGTGTCGACACGGAATGTTCAGCAAAGATTTGTGGATGAATTTGCAGAGCTAGAAGCAATAATTTACTGTTTTAATCTTTGTTCTACCCTTGATAGCATAGCGACACCCACACCCACCCACACACACACACACACACACATATATATATATATAATAATTATTTTAAAAAGATATGATACCTTCGCTACATAAGAGTTCTCATGTTTCAAAAACAATAGCCAAAAACCTCAATATAATTATTAAAATTAAATTGAATTAAAGTATCAAGACCTGTTTCATCCTCAAGCGAAAATTTAGGAATAACCAATGTTGAAATTTACACATCTTTATAAGCATGTTCATTCGTAAAATTAATTACTATGGAAACGGCGACCATTTTGATAAGGGGCGTAAGAGTTAACAATTTGTATCCACATATCAGTCACCTTCGGAAAGAGGGCAAGTTGAAGCAGGGCCAGGGTGTCTATTTCAAAGCGAATGATGGCATTCAACTACGCACATCGTCTGGTCTGTCACAGCGACAGATAGCTATTGGCACTATAGTACGTCGTTAAGTGTCTAAAGAACTTTTTTTCTAAAGGGCTGTTTCGTACATAAACGCGCCTCACTGAACTACGATTTGTTTTTTTTTTGACAACTTCATAAAGGGTTTTTCTATCTTATGGTTGGGTTAAGCTTTTAAACCTTTTATTAGATCTATGAAATTTATTTTTTTATGCTATTTAATGCGAAAATTTATTGATGTCGGCAAAAAACCATAAACTCATGTCTATGGTTTAATAAATTTTCATTATTTAGAAACTTAATAATGTGTAGCTTTTCATGCCGGCATAAAGGGTATGGGTCATCCCAGGTTTTACAAGTTCTTGTTCTATTTATTATTTTCCATTTTACTTTTGGTGTTTTATTCATTTCTTTTAAATGCCAAAAATATTTGGATAGGGTGTTATATATATTATATTGATATAAGCGTTCGATATATATATATATATATATATATATATATATATATATATATATATATATATATATATATTAACTGATTTAAAATATGGTTTTTCGCTACACAGTAATAACCATGTTTCAAAAATGGAAGCTAAAAACTTTAAATTTAATTTTGTAATTAAATTAAAACATTAGTTCTATTTCATCCTCAAGCGAATTTTGGAGTAATTTACTTTTTAAATTTACTGAGTTTTAACTACAAGGGAAATTCATAATTTATGGTTACCAAGGATACAGAGAAATCCAATCATTCAGACAAGGGGTGGCAGCGTGTTCATTTTTATTAACTTTTGTATATATATATATATATATATATATATATATATATATATATATATATATACTGGATGTTACAGCAAAATTGTCCAAATCGTGTAACAGCATGAGATAATTGTTAATCCCCATAATATTTAATATCTAAAAATATACTAAACTAATTGGGTTTCTTTCTTCCAGGTTTTCAGATAAGACGTTTAGCCATCTTGACACCATTATTCAGCTGGAAAGAGAACAGGTTAAAATCATTTTGTGTCAGACCCATTATGTCTTCTCAACTGAGCAATGGTGAGAGGATAAAAGGTCATTCAGGCCTTCAGTAGTGGTACCAACATTCATACTCTGACTTCTATCTTCAAAGTCCATTCAAAAACCATCAAGAGAATAGTGAATAAGTTTAATAAAGAGGGAACAGTAGTGAGGAAAACTGGATGAGGAGGTCACAACAGCAAGAGGGATCATCATTTCAACTTAGAGCTAAAGTACAATGGTGTTATAAAAAAAACTCGGAGAATTCCAGTAAGATATCTTTAATCATTTCTAAGATACAACGGATCAAACTTAATCTAACAATGAGACAATTTTTCTGTTATACGATTTGGACAAATTTTCTGTTACACCCGATATATATATATATATATATATATATATATATATATATATATATATATATATAGATAGATAGATAGATAGATAGATAGATATATAGTCCGAACGCTTTAATCGGACACTTTTGAGACCATCTTTGGTTAGTGATCAACGAAATTTTTTTTTGAGGATTTTTAAAATTACTTTTTTGTATATTTCCTATTTCCTTTCCTGGTTTCTGGTACATATTTAAATATAAATTGTTCAATGTCTGAGTGCTTTCCGCTTTCAGAAACGATTATCAAATTTGTGTGTGTGTGTGTGTGTGTGTGTGTGTGTGCTATTTCAGTTTCCGCATTTTCAAATATTGAAACGACGCATCTTCACGTTACAGTTCGTGTTATCGCGTCGTTTTTTTTATTTTTATTTTTATTCATGAAATATATTTACAGCAACTCATCGCCAATAAAATGACAAATTTAGGAACAAATATTGTAAATATTTCATGAAAAAGAAAACATCACCATAACACGAATTGTCACGGGAAGACACAAAGATGTCAGATGGTTTTACCTGTCGAGGGATGGGATCCGTCAGGTCTAATTGCCCAATGCATGAATGAATACCTCTCCGGGTTTTAACCCAGGTAAAACTACAATTGATTTCCTCTGGCCTGATTGATTCGATCAGGAGACCCTTCTACTCTGTCTGTTGAGTTCAGTCCAGAAATTCGTCCACCAAGCGATACCGTTATCACCGCAACGTCTGCATATATAGCTATGGAGCCCAGTTTATCTCGTTGGTCTAGATGACCGTTGACTCTACAAATAGCTTCATCCGCCCTTTGTCAAGTCTTGTTTTTAATCTTGCTTGAAGTCTAGCCACCCACCTCAGCAAATAAATAAATAAAATAACAACTGATGGGGAAGCTGGTTTATTTACAGATGATTCGACATGAGGCAAATAATAGTACCAGTAGCACTTGAAGAGGAGCCTAACATGATTACATATATTAAAGCAATATGGCAATGTGTTATGCTAAATGAATTATACAGAGATGGACTCTCCCAAGTTATAAATAAAAACAGGTATTGCTTTTAGAAAAGTAGAGTTTCTAGCAGTCATCTCTGACAGTCTGACTTAACATTCTTGCTCGTTTGTATATAATTGTATTACTGTTTTTCTGTTAATATATTTGTTAACTCAATTCTTCTCTTTGTGTCTTTATTTCTAGCCGCAACACAAAGGTCATCGCGGAAGTATCTTTATTATGTGCAGCATTGGAATTGATATTACCAACAGCAGTTACTTCCCTTCAACGAACACGCAAACACAGTGGGGGACATTTTGTGCTAATGTGATCGCGACTCTATTCTCTGTTTCATTTAGCGTGACAGAAAACCAGTAAACGAAAAAATCACAACGACTTTTATAAAATAAGATTATTATTATTAGTAGTAGTTTAGTTACAATCAAACATTAAATAAAATTATAGCCTATCAGGCGGTATTTAAGCTAGCTCTTGCGGAGGACTCTTGAGTGAGCCTTCATCACAATAGGTAGGGAGGATTAGATGCGATAAGCCACAATAAACTACAGAAGAACTCAAAATTGATCGCTGTATTTAAGTATTGCATTAATATTTAAGCTTACCTTTTAAAAGTTCAACGACGATTCTTCTGTCGCCACTTAATTTAAAGACAGTTTGATGTATGTAGGTCCTTACTTTCCGTACAAATAATTATTTTTATTTGATGGGTGATCTTCGTTGGATCTCGCAATTAATGTCGATTATTCCCAATTTTATTTCCAAGTTATAAAAATTGTTATCATACAAAAAGATTCGTCGCAAAAAATCACGTAAAATACATGGCCGAAAACAATCGCAGCAATGAAAACTTGGGAATCCAGAATTTCTGTAACATGAGCTATTGAAAGTTACAGAGTTGTGTCCCTTTAATTGAAAAAGTGTGACACACTGACGTTGGCTTTTATTATATAGATAAAGAAGAAATTAGAGAGTTGTCCCTGACACACTGACATTCGCTTGTATTATATAGATTACACGAGAAGAAAAAAACATGGTGGATACTACTAACGTTTAAATCTCGCATTTGTTTCTTCCATTTCTGCCGGAGCTCTTCTGACGGTAAGAATTTTGCTGGTTGTCTTAGAATAGCCAGTTTATCGCAAATGTGGCCATGGATACTCTCTTTGTCAGCCAATTGATGATCATGACAACTGCAAAGAAAGAAATGACACATTAGTCTTAAATTGTTTGAATTTTGTGATGAAGCACTTTCATAGTTGATTTTTTGCAAATTTTCTTAATTTTTTTCTTACAACATTCTCAGTCGAATACGCTATGAATTTTGCACAAACAGCATTAAGACAGCCGCGTTTTCTAGTTATTCATAAACTGTAGGCAGACGACAAAAAAAAGCCAAAAGACCAGTTTATAAGCTTGTCAGCGAAGACGATAAGTGCCTCGACTGCAAAACAATAACTCTAGTCACCATGGCAACAGATGGCATCCATATGTTTGGCTAACCTTCTAATTCAATTATTTAAAAAAAAATTATACGACACATTCGTGGCTCTTCCGACATCTTTTTCAAAAACTTGGTTCTATAACTTATTTGAATTTATGAGGGTAAGAACACTATTGTAAATCTCTTCTAAAGAATTTTATCTAACTTCATCACGGGTTTGAAGGGCATAAAACTTATAATAATAACATTTAGATTATTATTATTATTTTATTTCCTTAGGTTTCTAGTGTGTACTCATTTCTTTCCGGTTCCTGCTCAGAGCGCTAAGGTCAGAAATGGCATCATGACATTTTCCACTGACCAATTAAAACACACACACACACACACACACACACACACACACACACACACACACACACACACACACACATTTTTACATAGATAAAGCTCTTTCGTAAAGTGTAGGCTATACCCGTGGGATCAATTTTTTTTGCATTTATTTAAGCCATGGTCTTCCAGGAATCCCTTCAATGAGTCTATTGGAATTTTTTCCAATCAATCCGAGGGCTCCAACTACAACAAGTATTGTTGATGTTCCCATGTGCCACATATTTGAGATTTTGATTTCAAGGTCCTTGTATTTTGATAGCTTTTTGAAGATCTGCAGGTACTGCCATTATCAATAAGGAGGCAATTTTTTTTTTTTGTTTGCGGTCTCTAATCACGATGTTAGGGAGATGAGATTTGCTTGTTCTGTCTGTGTGTATTTTAAAGTCCCATAAAACTGTTACAGGTCCTATATCCGTAATCGAGTCTGGGTGGTGTTCATACCAATTTCTCTCAGCTTCCTTCACGTAGAACTACAGATTTTCCAGTGCAGATATTGGCCCACACTGTCATGTCGGGTTTTGTATTCAGTGGAAGATGATCAATTGTTTCTGGATATTTATCACAGAATCTGCTTTTTGGACTAACACAATTTTATTATTATTATCATTTTTATTTCCTTTGGTTTTTGATCTACACACATTTCTTTTCACTGAGAAGTTATGAAAAAAAACCACGTATTTTACATAGATAAAGCTCTTCGTAAGGTGTGAGCTGTATTTGTGAGTACAATTTTTCGTATTTCTTTAAGGCATAGGCTACCAGGAATCCCTCCAATGAGTCCACTGGAATCTTTTCCAATGAATACGAGGGACCCAACTACAACTGGAATTATTAATGTCCTTATGTGCCACATTTTCGAGATTTCGATTTCAAGGTCCTTGTATTTTGATAGTTTCTTGAAGATCTTCAAAGATGCATTGCAGTCTGCAGGAACTGCCATGTCAATAAGGAGGCACGTGCGGTCTCTAATCACGATGTCAGAGCGATTAGCTTTGATTGTTCTGTCAGTGTGTATTGTGAAGTCCCATAAAATTGTTACAGGTGCTACCTCCGTAACCGGGTATTATTATTATTATTATTATTATTATTATTATTATTATTATTATCTTTTTCATTTTGGCAGATACAATACGAATATGCGAAAGTAAACCAACTCCAAAGAGTCGTCATTTTTTAAATTAAATTTCAAACCTATAAAAATCTTCCTGGTTTATTTATTTATACCCTTGTCGCAAAATTCCTCCATGAAAATTATCGAGAAATTGTGCAGATACAAGGACCTGGAGATCGAGATTAATAGGATGTGGGGAGTGAAGACTGAGATTGTACCAATAGTAATCGGAGCACCGGGCTGCGTGAGAAAAGGAATGGACAATTTTACTAACAGTGTCCCAGGTAACAACAACATACAAGTTGCTCAGAAGATCGCCCTACTAGGAACATCCCATATACTAAGAAAAGGGCTATCAATTTAATAAGTCTCCTATAGGACCTAAGGACCACAGTTTGGACCCGCGTCTACAGGATATAAAGAAGGAAACATAACATATACAAATAATTATAATGAGAGTACTATAATCTATTATTATTATTATTATTTTTATTTATTTATTTTGTCCGGTACAGTACGAATAAGCGAAAGTAAACCAATATCAAAGAGTCGTTATTTTTCATTTTAAGAAAATGTTAACGGTGTGTTAATTATGGCATTTCAAACCTATAAAAATCTCTCTGGCGTTTCAAATATAGAATTATCAAAATAACATGCACAAATAATAATAATAATAATAATAATAATAATAATAATAATAATAATAATAATAAAGTAGCCTCCCATCACTATTGGTGCCTATGTAGGAAATATGGACTTGAAGTCGAACAGAAATGGTATCACCACAAGCCATAGAACGTGATCGAAAATAACCAAGACAAGATCTTATGGGATCTCAACATCCAATCAGACCGCATCCCTGAGACCACCAATCCAAACCAAACCTCACCATCATTGAAAAAAAAAACAATAAACAAAAAAACAAACAAAAAAAAAAACAATAAACAAAAAATGCCTCCTTATCCATGTGACTGTTAAGGTGACCATAATATGAAACCCAAATAAATTAGAAAGCTTAAAAGTACACTGACCTCCGGATTAAGGTTGTCAGAATGTGGGTGGTTCAGGCCACTATTGTCCAAGTTGCCTTTAGGGCGTTGGGGCCTCTACCACCGAACTTAAAAAATGTGGCCATGGTTAAATGTTAATAAATGACACAACTACCTATAAACAGAATTAACAAAGTTTGCAATAAACTAAAAGAAGAATAAGAAAAGAACAGGGCAAAAAATAATATAGAAGCAAACAATATATGCAAGGCAAATGAAAAGTAATAAGTCAAAGCAATAGTAATATGAACAAAAGTTTACCAACTAAGAATTGGAGTTGACACACCGACAAGCGAACGTAGTGTTCTGACTTCAAGACAAGACAGACTGGGACTGAGTCAGATGAAACCGAGAACCAACCGTTTTTATTCGTTAGGAAAAAATCCCAGCATGCATTTGTGTACTTCTGCATATAATCTGGGTGTAGGGAGGGTTGCAGTCATTCCACGCAGGATTTTTCGTTTTTCGGGATCATCCATTCCCTCTTCATTTCATGTATTAATTTTTCGATATTTTTGTAAGAAAATGGAAAAAAAATGGGAAAAAAAACGAAAATAAAACGAAAATAAAAAATAAGGACATTTATGAAATTTTTATGTCATTTGTGTTTGTCTAGGTTCTCTGTGGTATTGTGGTATATGTCGGACTGAATGGTGATAGATGATTTCTTGTGGTAAATGAGTACATTGTAATGGAGGAATGGGTCGTGAATCAGATTATCTAGGTCTAGGATAGTTAATGTTGACCAATCTCCCTCCACTTCCCCTTCGGCTTTCAGCCAAAATTGTTTTAAAAAGCAATAAATCATCAACCACGCAGGATTGAAACCAATAAAAGACCTACAAGAAGAGAATCTAAATAAGACCTCGTACCCCATCGCTTCAGGAGTCTGTGTTGTTCGGCCCCGCAGATCTTCTACGAAAGTTGCTCTCTGTCTGAGGACGTTTGTCTTGAACATCCATAATGCAAGATCTCCGGGAGAAAACGAAAAAAAAACTGGGCGGAAGAAGGGATGGTAATGATGATGATAATCCTTTTTTTAATCACATCATTATGATAAGACAAAAAAAAAATAAAAAATAAAGGAAAAAAGAAAAGAAAAAAGAAATAAGAAATGTTTTATCAATCTAACATGTTTCCCTTTTATTCACGGCATTATCAGATATTTATCACGCGTTAACTGATGATTGGTCAGCACAGAAATGTCGCTTTTTGATTGGTTAATTACTGACGATTATCATGACAATAAACAGCAACACCGATAACCTGGATCTGGATGACAGATCACTAGTTTACAAAGGAATTTCGGCAAGCATAAAAATAGATGTTCTAACCTAATTTTTGGGTGCTGATTTCAGCAATGAAATTTGTTTTCACTCATTGTCTCTAGTTTGTGAGATATACATATATACGCATACGTGAAATGTATCCATGTACTTGCATTCCAGACTGTCAGATGTTTGTCTATATTTCTGAGATGAGGTATTATGTACACTATTTACATTATTCGAACTATTGTCCTCATCTTTGTCGCCATATTTATTACAACGTTTCGGCTCTTCAGTATCTGTCTATATTTCTGAGATGAGGTATTATGTACACTATTTACATTATTCGAACTATTGTCCATATCTTTGTCGCCATATTTATTACAACGTTTCGGTCGTTGTACGCTCCGGTCTTCTTCAAGTGATTGGAATGTCGAACTGAACCCTTTATTTCACTCACTGGAGTAGACTGTTCTAGTTCCACGTGCCATGTTTAATGGATGTCAGTTGTCAGTTATCTCCTGTTAATTCCCCTCTCCGTTCTCTACTGCCTTAACCGGGTATAGAACTCACACTCTTTGGGTCCTACCACTGGATCTAACTAACGCCTTTATCCACTGCGCCATGTGTGAGTTCAATACCCGGTTAAGGCAGTGGAGAACTTGAAGAGGGGAATTAACAGGACATAACTGACAACTGACAGTGAGCGAAATAAAGGATTCAGTTCGACATTCCTGAAGAAGGCCGGAGCGTACAACGGCCGAAACGTTGTAATAAATATGGCGACAAAGATGAGGACAATAGCCCGAATAATGTAAATAGTGCCAGATGTTTGTTTTAGAATTGTAAATCTAAATTGTATCGTTTTTTTTTTTAATTTTAGTATGTGTATTCTTTTTATAGAAAATACTGACATAATGATTCGGCCTTGTGAGTTAAGTTTCATTGCAGTGAAATGAAATCCTCTTCAGATTCGAATGCCTAGTACGCATGTACGTAACCATATATACTATCAATGTTTATGTTGTTTTCTATATTTTTGTGAGCTAATAAATGTCTCTACAATAGTTTCAGCCACTTCGTAACACCGAGGATGCATCAACGAGGCACATTCATTCTGTTATGTGCGTGGGGAATTCACGGCAGTTGCACAACACCAAACAATTACTCCTCTCCTGACGACTGCTTACTTTCATTATTTTGACTGTAAAATTGGAGGTCAAGACAAATCCTGGGCCCAACATATCTGTTGTAAACCCTGTTACAATAGACTAACCGCGTGGTTTCATTCAAGAAAGCAGCCTTCAATTTTGCTGCCCCAATGGCTTGGAGAGAGCAGATGATTGTTATTTTTGTCCAACAAATATAATTGGTTTCAATGCTTCTCCCCCCCCCACAAAAAATCAAATATTCTGAACTCGCTTCAGCTACGAGACCTGTTCCTTACTCAGATGATCTCCTTGTCCCTAGGCCCTCAGCATATAAACATTTTATTCCTTTACCATATGAAAAACTGCCTTCTACCAGTTCGTCTCTTCTGAAGACAATGTCCCCGTTTATTCAAAGAGCAAGCGGTAATGAGACCAACTGGAAAACCTGAATGACTTTGTTCATGGTTTGTACATATCTAAGCAGCAGTCTGAGTTCCTGGTATCCCGGCTTAAGCAATGGATCCTCTGTCATGGTAGACGTATGAATCAACAATTTCAGGACACAAAACAAGGACTTTGCCTCATGAGCTGCACAGCGCCGAACAATTACTCCTCTCCTGAAAACTACTTACTGTCATTATTCTGATTTTAAAATTGGAAATCCTGAGCAACACACATCTGTTTTAAACCTTATTACAATAGACTAATTGCATAATTTCATGACAACTTTTATATCCCGATGGTCAGGAGAGAGAGCAACGAAGCCATGCAGATGATTGATATTTTGTCTAAAAAATACAACTGGTTTCAATTTTAAAAAAATATCCCAAGCTTTCTTTAGCTATGAGACTTGTTTCTCACTCTGATGATGATCTTGTCCCTACACCCCCAGCACATAAAAATCTTATTCCTTCATTATATTAAAAATTGCCTTCAGATGAAAATTCTGCCAAGTTGTTTTTTTTCTGAAGGCAATGTCCTGTTTATTCAAGAGCAAATGCCAAAGAGACCCACTGGATTACCCAGGAAAACCTGAATAACTTTGCTCATGATTTTTATCGATCTAAACAGCAGTCAGAGCTCCTGGTATACTGGCTTAAGCAGTGGAACCTGATCACGGTAGATGTAAAGATCACTAATTTCAGGACAGAGAACAAGGACTTCACCGCATTCTTCGACATGGAAAACAGGTTGCTCTATTCCAGAGCTTCTTAAATGAACCGAAAGCATGGTAAGTATTTAAATCATTCTGCCACGGATTCCTTAGTAACTCACAGGTACCAGATTACCAAACGTACACCAAGAAGTTGTTACAGGCTTGTGAGGATATAGGAAGTCGAATGTCACTCAAAATTCACTTTCTCCAGTTCTACATTTAACTTCTTCCCTCTGAACCTCAGAGCAGTGAGTGATAACTATGGAAAAATGTTCCACCATCATATTACTAAGATGGAAACTACCAAGGCAAGTGGATCCACAGTATAATAAAGGACTTCTACTGGATGCCTCTGCGTGGTATACCAAATGCAAAGTACATAAGATCATCCAAAAATCTTCACTTCTGACTGTCTGCTGCAGTATGACGTGCATGTATGGTATTATCCAAGTAAATTTGTTCCGTCAATGCTCCATATCTATGATGCTTTTTTTTTGTAATATGCCTTTGTAATAGATAAAATAAACACATTATATTTTTAATTTATATGCAGTATAAAAGAAATGTGATATAGGAAAACAATAAAACTAGAGGTGATAGAGCAAAACTGTTCAGGAATTTGAATTCTCTACATTAAAATTAGTAAAAAAAAAAAAATACCTGTTCACATGCTTGCCTCAGAGAATTTTCTTTTGTTTTAAATCGGATTCATTATTATTTTGTCAAATAGTTATGCAGTATGCTTTAAGGGTTGCCGGACTGATAGAACTGAAGTGATTGCCTTCTTATTGGTTGGATAACTGCCAACAAAGAGCGGCGGAAAACTCAGCAGCACCAGAATCAAACACAGGATCACGACGAGCAGGGTACGGACAAGACTTCCACATGGGAACACCACACGTACAGGACGAACGCAGCCGAAACACCGGAAACTACAAACGAGGACGAATTTGAAACGACGCTGGGTAACACGACCAGAACTCCTTGGTAACGCACGGCAATCCCGTTGTGCAATCAATAGGGCGCACTGCCAAGAAAATGTGTCTGCTTTTATGGAGCCTAAAAATTTAGAGCGGTTGGCTAGCAAAGAATCATTTGAATAGCTAACACTCAGTTCACCGTCCCGCCTATGTCTTGGGGAAGCTGGTAAAAACACTTTCTTTCTCCATAACCGGACGTTCTGGGCTTTGCACTGGTTCTGTGCAGGCAGGGCAGCCATGTGCTGTCTTTCCGCAGAGACAGCACACTAAACGTTGTCTCTTAGAACCGACGAGGGCAGGTACCGTTATCAGTAGCAGTTGGCCGCTTCGTCTGCATTTCGTTTCCGCTACATGCCGTTCTGATGATATCATCATCATCATCAGTTCCATGACAGAGTATGGTCGTAGGGTCTCTGCGCAACTGAGCACCTGACCAGACCCTTCTCTAAATTTGGCTTGAAAGCTTGCATAGATCCTTTTTTTTTTTCAATTTCATCACTCATTTACCTCGTTTTTATATCTATAAACGCCCAGTCTCCAATATTGAGCACTCTTCCCCTCTTCTCCATCCTCTATGTGCCATGTCAGTTCAGGACGTGGGCGATCATGGCTCTCTACAATTTCCTTTCCCTCCCCTATTCTTGTTTCACAGATAGCTATAATCTCCAGCTATTCAAATGTAATGTCAATCGGCGTCTCCAGATGCCTTGATCTATCCCCTGTCCTTCTCTTCATCCTTTCCTCTATCACTCCTCTTTGCTCTCGCTCCAACTCTCTGTAACCCCTTGCGTGCTAGTGGCTTCCCATCTTGCTTGGGGTGAAACGCTTAAAAAAAAAAAAAAAAAAAAAAAAAAAACCACTACGCAAAGTTGTTAATATTAACAATATTCCCAGTGTTCCGTTAGCATTGACAATATTTCTAGTGTAAAACATGTTCCTCGACGACAAAAACGATGTATTTAAGGGGGGAAAACTCTTTAAAAATAGAGCATCTATAATTTCAGTTAAATCGGAATTATATTAGTTCTATAAAGTAAGTGGAAGAGATTGTATTAATAGTTTATATTATAATAACCATGCCATCCAAAGATGACGGTAGATTTAATTCATTCTGTAACAACATTATACTTACATAAAAAAAATTCATATTGTTCTTCCTGAGTTCAATATTTTATGAAGATTGAAATAAATAAAAAATCAAATTAAGTAAAGACAGCAATTGATACGCCTCTTGTCTCCTTATGTAAAAAAAAAACGAAGCCAAATTTTCAGGAAGCCACAGCAACAATAACGTTGTTAAGTCTGTGGTCCCCTACTTTCGATGAAGTGAGGACTCTTCCTTTCTTTTTCTCTCTTGTTTCTTTGATATATAAAAATAGATGAAACTATTTTTTATATATGTATGCATACATACAAATATATATATGATCTTTATTATAAAAGCTTATAATAAAAACATATTGAAATCGCTACCTAACAGCTTTCATGTTTAATATTTTTTACTTCTTTCAATACTTTGATTGTATTGAGCACTTTTTAAAAAGTAAATGCCACGAACAATGGAATTTTACTCCATCTGTCCTTACTCTCATTTGTATATATATATATATATATATATATATATATATATATATATATATATATATAGTTGAATGTAGAAACATTTAACACCATCACTTGATATGACATCAGAAGTGTTGAAACAAAATGGCTATCTTTGTAGCGATCTTATAACATATTTATGTTATAATTTTCGAATAAATTATATTTCCTCTACTCTGTATTGAGCACTCTTTTAAGAATAATTATTTTTTGGTTATTGAATTTATTCCGGATACACCAACCCTATACTTGGATACATACATATATATATATATATATATATATATATATATATATATATATATATATATATATATATATGTGTGTTTGTGTGTGTGTCATATTTTTCGCTTACATATTTTCCACAATTGTGAATGATGGCCTGCCTACGTTCCGGTTAATAAAAGAACAAATAT